GTTTGTCTCAGAATAGAGTATGGTGCAGACCCTAGTACCTAGATTTGCTAGGAGTCTCAAGATGGCACATAACAACAACAAAATTAGATTATCTAACAGATGGAATACTCAGAGAAGCATGGCTTGGGTACTTCAGTTGAGAACTGCTGGCCCCCTGTTTTATGCTCTCTGTTCTATCTCCATTCCTGGCTGGCTGTCTCATTATTAATAATTATAAAAATATTTTACCCTCAGTCTGTAACATTCTGGCATCCAAAACTGGAACAAGGTGGTGGTTTCTCTTTAGATAAGGTGGTGGTCTCTCTTTCTTTCTCTCTTTTTCGAGAAGACACCCAGAACTGAAAGGTAATTAAATTCACTCAGGTGATCAGTTGGCCCAGTGGATAGAAATAGATGCTACCAAGCCAAAGGTGGGTGACTTTTTTCCCCTTCTGTTGTATTTTATTTTCTGGCAAAGCTTATCAGTGGGTGACTTTTAATCCCGTGGCCGTCGGGCTTGTCTTTCATTGTTTTAGTTCAAACATTCCTCTAGGTCATATAGCCCTTGTGTGTCCACTTGCCAGACAGTGGTCACTTGTGGTTGCTGTGGGGTTGAACACTGTGACACTGATGTGTCAAATGCGTTAATGGCTGGTTACCCAATGTGGACAGAGAGTGGGGTGGAGCTCCCCTATTAAAACAAGCTTGGAAGCAAGAGTGGCATCCACTTCCATAATAGCTTGCCTCCGGGAACCCTATGAACCTGAAGAGAGGATGAAAGACACACAAGTGTTGAGGACTTTTGTTCACAGGGTCACTATGAGTCACCTGAGACTTGATGGCACTTAACAACAACAACAGCAGATGGAAGAGTATAGTGTGTGTTTTGTAAGCTCCCAGATGTAGTGTACTCTCTAAGCATTCAAAAGAACATCAGATTAATTGCTGACCCTTCTATCCCTTGAAATGGGATAAAGTAATCAAGAGTTAAGAATCATTCAACGAACTTGGACGCAAAGAATTCAACGGGAGGCTTATTGCAGTGATTTATAGAACATTTTACTGTGAACCCCAGGAAACAATCATTTTTATGTTGTGAACCTGATACACATGCATACAATGGACTGAAAGGAAAATTTCATGAAACAATGCATATCATTACTACTTATTGTGTTGTATTTTTATTCTGATTAATTTTTAAATTTACATGTTGTAAAGTGAAACATGGAAGGTCATGGTTCCAATGGGTAGATTTCCTATCTTTCTCCTGCAGAGTGGCTGGTGGATTTGACCTGCGTGCCTTCAAATTTGCAGCACAGATTCTTACCACTAGGCCACCAGAGCTCCCTATTGCAATGCTTAATAATTGCTATATTTGAGCTCATTGTTGCAACCACGCTGTCAATTCACGTCTTTTATGCTGTACCAAGGTCGATACCCTTCTCCAGGAACTAGTTCATCCTGATAAAATTGTCAAAATACATGAGAATGAGTCTCACTAGCCATGCTCTGAAGAAGCATTCTGTTTGTACTTTGAAGTTGTTTGTTCCTCTGCCTGCCTGTGGTACATTTAAAATTCTTCATAACATTATAATTCAAGTGTATTGATGCTTCTTCTATCTATTTTGTATATTTTCTACTTTTTACAAACATATCAGGAAATTTAAAACCCTATAGGCAGGATCAGGTGCACCTTAGTCCTCAAAGCACTGGCATTGCTTTGAAAAGGTGACCCAGTTGTTTTAAATACTCTAAGACTTAATGTGTTGTAATTGATTTGCCCAATATAATACAGCATTTGATTTCTCAAGTGCTATTTTATTAAACATTGTTTGTCAATCTAAAAAAAAATAAAAACAACCTAAAGTAAATTCTGGACAACTTCCATCTTTTCTATTTGTCATGGTCCAATTGTAAGCAATTTTTTACCTTATTTTGAGATGTGTTTTATATTTAACAGGAGAGAATGTTGTTCTCAAGTAGTATTATTAACATTTTATTGAGATACATACAATTCTTACACCATAAAATTCACCCTCAAATGTGTGAACTTAATCAGTTTTTCTTACACTCACCAACTTGAGCAACTATCATCACTATATAATTTAAAACATTTTTATTTCTCTGAAACAAATTCTGTAGTCATTTGATTTTTGACTTAGTACTTGGAGTGCACAGTTTATTTTAGATGTGCAGTTCTCATTATTTTCTGTAGATTCTAAAATATTTAACTTAAAACAGAAGAACTTGTATTGGAAAATGCTTTCTTTGACAACATAACAAAATTTCACTGAGGTGTATAGTGTTAATATTTAATACTGTTAATGATAAACCAGTGATTTTTTTTTTCTGATAC